GCCAGCCTTCTGGTTAGCAGTCAAGTGCCTTAGCCACTATGCTACCAGAGCTCCTAATATCCAGCTGTTATCTTTAAATTCTGAAGAATCTAGGATGAGTGAGAACATCTGAAACTCCTTTCTCCCTATTTTAACCAAGAGCCAGGAACAATGCAGCAGTTACCACAGATCCTTTCTGTTTGAGTACGTCTGAAGGCTCAGGATCCAAATTCTTGTAATTGATAACCTACTCATGTCTGCAAGCAAACTACTGTCTAACTGGGAAGCTATTCCTTATTGATCTGATGACTGTTATTTGGGAAAAGTGAAGAACTGGCCTTTTGACTTTTTGTGTTGCCCTGGTAGTAGTATTTAAATGGAGATTTATTTTCTGGTGTTGTTATTCGTTGGTAATCCAATGGAGGTTGCTATGAGTCATAATCAACTTGATGGCAGTGGGTTTGGTTTTAAGAGTTTGAAGTTCAAAACAATCTGATATTTTTAAATTAATTTGCAGTTGTTATTAATATTAATGTTTAAGAAAAATTACTTTTCAACATTATTCATGTGAAATTTCCATGTTATTATAAGGTTTTATATCACACTAGTTCAAAAGCATTTATCTACAATTACTCTAGATAACTCCTTTGGGATTATTTCAGTCATTCCCAGCAGGTGACTTAAGAGCTTGAATCTAAACAAACACACAATATTTCAAATGACTAACTTTTAGATGAGTGAGATTAGGAATAAAGTTATCAGCTGATGACTGGGGATGCTAATCTCTGTGGTAGAGTGAATTGCTTAACACGGCTCTTCTAGCCATGGTCTTCTATGACTCCCACCAGATAACTGGTGGAACTATACAAATGTGAGGTGCCTGTGGCACACCAAGGGGGTTGAGTAGCTTGTTAATGATGTAAATAAGTACATGGTATGCTTATGGGGGCAGGACTGTGCAAATAAGGTGTATGGAACCCTAATGTAGGGGGTGGTCAGTTTTGCCATTCCACTAGGCTTAAAATGAGCCATTACAGAGGTAGAAAGGAGGATCTTGCTGCTATTAAGAAAAAAAAGCCAGAAGTGAAGCACATTCTTTGGACCCAAGATCTCTGTGCTGAGTTGGTGAGAAGCAACAATAGAGAGACTACAAAGAGACAATGAAAAGCAACAGAGGCAGCAGAACCAAGAGACCTTCATGAGACAAAGCGGTGGATTTGCTGGCCTGGGGAGCAATACAGCTGAGTGCCTTCAGGCAGGTGCACCTATCAGCACAGCTAAAAAGAGTTTGTCACACTTGCCCAAGCAGGGCAGAGGCCAGGCCGAGAGCCTAAAGGCCAGAGAGAAGCATGTCTGCAGCATGGCTGAGAAACTGTCCTGATTGAAGAATTGTATCCTGAGTGTTCCTAAACCTGAGTTGTAACCTGCTACTGCTACTTCCCTAATAAATCCCATAATCAAGTATTGCCTGTGAGTTCTCTGTGGCCATTGCAATGAATTATTGAACCCAGCACAGTAGAAACAGACAGCTGGTGTCAGAATTGGTAAAAAGGTTAGAAGGTAGTGGCATGTCTGACCTCTGCTTCAAAGGAATCAGCCTTGGGCTGATGTTGCTGATATTGATTCTCTCTCCACTTTGTGAAGTTAGAGGAGGTCAAAAGATGTCGCCCCTGTGCCTTTTTGCAATCTCCAACAAGACACTTTGTCAAAATGTTTCTTCTGATACAGCCGTTTTATTATAAATTAGAACCTTCAAAAAATAATGGCCTAACAAGAGTACAATAAAACAGCTTCTGCAGCTTAAGCTTCTCATGTCCTAAGTCTCTGACAGATGTAAGGCAAAGTATCTTTCCTGCAAACTAAATAGGATTCCAGTAGTATTTCAATCTAGTTGAACTTTCAGAAAAAGAAGGCCAAGACATATCTTTATTATATATACCATCTTGGCTCTGGCTGCATTAATTATGTCTTAAGAGTTTAATACCCATCCATGTCCAAAGGTGGAGGGATACATGAATTAGTAGGGTAATCAGCAAGAGCAGAGTATAAAAGCACAGCTGGTTGTGCTAGCGCAGTCCTGAGGGACATTTTCTTCTACGGAGGCTGAACAGAACAGCTCTGCTAAAGAAACCAGTGTAATAAGGACAGTCAATGCAGAAGAGACAGAAACATTCTTTTCCCCCACTTATTACTCACCATCCTGACTTTTTAAAGGTAAATCGTACTAAGGAAATTTAGTTGCTTTTTTTTTTTTAAATTATGGTTTAATGAATGTCCATTTCTTCTTTCTTATTATTTTGATGTGTCATCCTAGCTGTCTATGATATCCTATTAGGAATGACTGGCTATGCTATTCTCAACTCCTCATTAATCAATTCATTTCTCATTGCTTCATATCTGAGCAGGTTCTTGGAGAGTGGGCACACCAGGAACTCCCAGGTCCAAGGAGTGAAGCAGCTCCTCTGTCCTCCTGCTCTGGTCAGTCTATGGTTGTGGCCCTGACATGTGCAGCCACCTGGGGGCAACAGTGGACAGTGGTGTGCATGGCCCCCACAGCATTAAGGCAAGCCCCCTGCATGCTCCACTCAGCATGGTCCAGCAGTTGAGGACTGCACCTCAATGTACCCCCTCAACATTTTTTTAAGAAACATTGTAAAGTTTCTCAGACCCCTAATTTTTTTAAACCAGTCTACAAATATACATTTCTTCCAAAGGCAGTGCCTGGACTTATAGATACATGTAGATATAGATGCAGAAATAGACAGATGTAGCTCTAGATCTGAATAACAAAAAGATCCTTAAACCCCAGGGAACGTCTTACTTTTTAAACCATAAATTATAAAACAAAATGTTAGATACACAAAGACTATGGTCAGTCTTACAGACTTTGCTGTGCTTTATTAAATACTAATTAGTTGGAAGAAGTGTTTTAATACCTTAGTGCAACAGCAGGACATAAAACATTGTTCCACCTCCTACTTTGGCGAGTAGCAACTGGGATCTTAAAAGCTAGCAAGCTGCCATCTAGATGCAACAATGGATCTCTCCTCATCCAGAGCAAAGAGGAATGAACAAAACCAAAATTCATGGAAACAATTAGTCCTAGCAACTGGTACACCATCCGATTTGTAGCCTATACAACTATGAGACCAGAAGAACTAGATGGTGCCCGGTTACCGCTGTCATCCACTTGGAAGGAGATCTATGTAGGAGATCCTTCACAGGGAGGGAAAACAATGTGGAACAAAATTCAAAAATCATTTGGAGGAAAAAAAAAAAGGTGGGGACCAGGTTTGCTGGTCCGATAGAGCCTGGTGGAACCCCTGAGACTATGCCCCTAGCTGCCCTTCAGGTCTGGAATTGAACCCACACCTATGGTTTCCAGCCAAACAAAAACAGGCATATGAGTTAAACATTTACCTCAAGTAGATACACTCCTTGGAGAGAACAATCATGGGAGAAAGAAGGGCTGCTTATGCACAGGGAGACAGCTCAGGGGGCAGGACAGTATGGAGGGATGGACACTGGGAAGAGGTAACTATGGGGAGGAAGTGGGAGGGGAGCTGTTGCATTGTGGTAAACTGTGGTCAATGACATGAGACAGTGTATTTTAACTGCTGTATGGAAAGTGAATTTGCTCTGTAAATCTTCACCCAAATCACAATTAAAAAAAAAAACAAAACAGCAGGACATAATGCTTACATATTAGAATATAGAAATACTTACTACATATTAGAATACTTACATAGTAGAATCTCTTTCTTGAGGCAAGGTTGTCTCACGTGAAGCTGAAGCAGCAGAAGGGGACCTAGGATACAGTCTATAACTGTCACTTGGAGTGATTATCTGCCTACCCAGAATCCTTCAAAATAAAGAAACATGGAGACACAATTAAGCAACTTCATCTGGCAACTACATACAAAATCTAGGTATTTTTGGAATAAATTTTCAGAAGTCCAGGACACACTTAGTTTGATACTGATTAAGAATGACTGAGAGAAAATGTGAATGCAGAGTCTCATTATTCTCTTCCAAAGGATGGACACAAAAAGCTCTAGCCCCAGGACTTAAAAAAAAAAAATTCCAAGGAAACTGAGCAAGCAGTTATAATTTGACCTCCATCTTCTATAATAATTTTCACTAAATTGTTGTTGTTGTTGTTGTTATGTGCCATCGAGTCGACCCGACTCATAGCGACCCCTCCTTGGGTTTCCAAGGCAGTATCACTACGGAAGTAGGACTGCCCAACCTTCCTTCTGAGCAACTGATTAATTTCACTAAATTAGCCAAAATGAAAGGAAGGCCAGGCCAAATTAGTGAAAACTGAATTGCATTCTTAAGAACTTGAAATTTTAAGAATTTTAAGTACGTGCAGTGAGTGGCACTAATACTGTTTAAAAGAGACGTTCCCTAACAGCCTGTGTCTGCTTTCAACTACAGTTATACGTAAGACTTTATACTTGTAGATAACAGTGTGAAGAAGTACATTTTCTGATCACCTTGTTCAAAAGAATTCCTTGGACAGCCACAACACACAGATCTCAGCTTCAGGTATAGAAATGGTTTTACTCGATTAGGAGAACATATTGGTAGTTATGGAAACAAAAACAATTTGAGTTTTCTCTCAACTGTTATTTTACAATACAATACAATGTCTTTATTTACTTCATTAAAACTATGCCATAAAGATTTTAGAGGTGGCCCTCCCTTTCTATGGGATCTACATCTCCAGATTTAATCAACTACAGGTTAAAAAAATATTCAACAGGGGTGGGGAATAAAAGCAATTAAGTGGTCAAAGCAATCCATCAAAGGTTAGGAGGGAGCATAGCAGAGGATGTGTGTAGGTTATAAGCAAATACTATGCCACTTCAATTAAGGGACTTGAGCATCCTTGGATTTTGGTATCTGTGAGGGCCCTGGAGCCAATCCCCTGCAGATACTGAAGGATGATTATGCAAGCTTTTTCGGAAACCCACTTGATCATCCATGAACACAAGTCAATTCTGGGGCTTTCGTACCTGAGGTGAGGAAAGCTAGATGTCCACTGTTGACACTCTGCTTGAAGACTCTTTGTACGTACGCTCAACTTCTTCTCATACAAAAGTTCGTCAATGGCTGTGAACATTGCCTGGACCTTTTCAGTAGCATTCTGATCAAGTTCCTAGAAGAAAATGTCCCCCAAAATATTTAGGTGGCCTTCGATCTCTGTTGAAAATTATAAAGATTGAAAACAATCAGATTTTGTTTTGTTTTTAATGTTAAGCTGAAATATTGTTGAGTTTCCAGGAAAGAAGAGTTAAATTAGTGAGTTTCTAGATCTCAGAATTTTCAGATGTCCTTTCTATTCATATTTAAAGAAAATTTATGGGAATTTTTTTTTAAGTAACATTTTCTTCATCATAAATACTATGTTTATTATACTGGAAAAACTTTTAAATTACCTATAATATCACCACTCAAAGAATGATTGCTAAATTTTATTATACCTGTTTGGTTCTAGTATTTTAGTAAAGCGTAAAGTAAAAAGGTAATTCTGTGAATATTATTTTGCATTGTGCATTTTTCACTTGACAGTCTGTTAATGTATCACAACCCTTGCCTCCTGCAATCCATCCTATAGTAGTAGCAAGCCCTACATGGGCTGATTATAAAATGCAAATCTACTGACACCATGCCCCTGCTTAACCTCTGTTGCATCTACGTATCTTTATATATCCTTTAACATTCTTCTAGAAAAACAATTATATCCTTTTCAAAAAGTGTAAGATAAGAAATGGGAATTTTTAAATTAAGAATTGAAGCCAGCTTCTACCCAGTAAAAAAGTGCTTGCTAGTTTTAGTCTCACCACAAAAATAAATTTTTCTGTACTTAATGTTCTCAAAGGAGCTCTGGTGGTGTAGTAGATAAGACATTTGACTACTAACAAGGTCAGCGGTTCAAACCCACCAGCTGCTCTGAAGGAAGATGAGGCAATCTACTTCTGTAAAAATTTACAGCATCTGAAACTCAATGGGGATCGCTATGAGTTGGAATCAACTCAATGGCAGTGAACTGGTTTGGTTTTGGAATGTTCTCAAGCTGAGGGGAGAGGAGAGATGTTCCTAGTCCTACTGAAACTTACTTACTTACTTACTTACTTACTTATTTATTTGTTTATTTGTTTATTTATTTTGTGATTGACTTATTTCACTCAGCATAATGCCCTCCAAGTTCATCCATGTTATGCGGTGTTTTGCAGATTCTACATTATTCTTTAGTGTTGCATAGTATTCCATTGTGTGTATGTCCATAGTTTGGTTATCCATTCCTCAGTTGATGGACACCTAGGTTGTTTCCATCTTTTGGCTATTGTATAGTCTATTTATGCTATATATTAGGGCCCTTAA